ATTTACGCAGTGATTTACAGAGAGAACAGTCACCAATTTGCCCTGAACTACAAAATGATTTGAAGGAAACTTCTGGTCTGGCTTTACATAACGTGAAGAACCTTCCGCAATCAATTCCAGAGCGCCCGATGTGAAGAGAATACATGTATTACCCACGGTCGTTCTAAGATTGCTTCTCCGCTGAGCCCATAAACAGAAAATTCATCTTAATAAAGGCTGGGGGTTTGGATTGAAAAGGAGTATCGAGACTTAAGGCACAGGAAAGGCCAGGGTGAGTTTTTGAAGCTGCCGCTATGGCCCACAGATCTTGATTAGGACAAAGTTGAACAGGAAATAAGAGGTTTCAAACTTTCGGGAAGTAGATTTTGATGGATTGAATCATAACATTACAGAATCAAAACATACACACCTAGCATAAATAAGCGCCACCCAAAACGAATAAAGTTCGATATCATGTCCATCAATTACACGTATGCTAGCGCGAAACATGAAAAGACGTGACATTTTGTGTAAATGAATCCACAAGTATAGGGTACCAATCACATTAAATTAGATACCATAAGTAGTACAAGGACAGCAGATAAGTATGTGCCCAACTTAATTGCTATGGGCCTACTGAAGAAAGTAACGACGAAAAGCCACTTCAATTAAAAAGAAATATACGATACGACACTTCAAGAAACTAGCTACAGATAGGTAGTGAATTAGAAAAGCACGTGGGGCAATTACTGTCGTGTTGAGGGTACGTAAGGCATGGCAGATTGACAGCTACTTCAACCTCATTACATGTTAGCTGTCACAATTACTAGTATATGTATGGCAGGTAGGCCAATGACTCGGGAGAATATTGGATGTCAACCAAATAATTACACAATCTTTAATATACGCATATTCGCAGCGTATCTTCCACGGCTGAAAATGTGTGTCAACCTTCTTTTGCCACCTATTTGACGTGATAGAGAATAGCTGAGAAATCAGAGCCTCTGACAGAGGCTGAGAACCGAAGAAAGATATCATATCATAGATGTTCTAAAACGCATGGCTTCTTATATAATTTATCCAGTTTGATTTCTTTTGTATTATGTAATGTTCCCCCTGGAAGTCTAATTTTCATCGACGACTGTATGAGTTCAATTTCACAGACGGTTCACACTACTTGGTCCTATATTAGTCCGCTGGAGAATCCCTCAACTCAGCCCAAGTCTGACTCTTAGAGTGACGCACGATAACTCAAGCAACTGGATACATGTTTTGAGGAGCTAGACGTTTCTGATGACATCCGTTATATTTCATCAGTGAGAGAGAATGACAGTGACTCCCATCAGGGACTCCAAAGGCTTAGTTTCACGTTCCATCTCTTAAGCCAGGTCACTACATGATGTGTCTTACATCATAACACGGTAGACGTCTGCAGGGACCAAATCAGCTTGGTATCCTTCCAGCAAAAACTAATCGCTACAAAATGAGCCTTATCACATACTTCGTAGACTTCGTAAATAAACAATTGCGTTGAGATTTCCTATTATAGTCACAGCGGTTTATTCATTAGCATGTATAAGTTTCCATAGTTTCAATTATGTAAAGTCAATATTTGAAATTAGTTTGTCACTACACCTTATTTGTTTAATCTGTTCTAGGGTTTTAACGTATAAGGTAGCGGTTTAAATTGCTGCGATGTACTTGGTAATGATTATCCTATATACCATCCTCACATGGTGGTCCCATCAAGATGCTGATCTGAAATCCTATTCAACAGACAGGTCAGGAGAGGAGGTCGGGCCTTGAGAGCCCCCCTCCCCGGACGCCGCCGGCACCAGGCGATGGCAGATCCTCCCCAGACCTCCACACCCCACACCGGCCACTGTTCACACATCGCGCTGATTCTCAATATCAGCACAATATGTCCTGTTAGCCTTCAACCATTCTCTAGTTTTCAACAGACCTGATTCACGCAGCGGAGAAGCACTGATGACATCAGAAATGTTACACAAAGCTCTTAAGAGTTCTGGGATTGGAGAACCATAGTTAGGCTACAAGAAAGAGATAAGGTTAATGGAAGACATCCATCCATGTTACATCTTGGTCATGTACAGAAGAAACTTTATCGAAGAGCATATTCGAAACAATGGGAATGTTATTTAGGTGTTTTGGGATGATAAACAATACGTGGTCACTAAATGTTAACGTTCTACACGTGCTGTATACAATCGAAATACAATACGATGATCATTTAACTGCTTTAACCTTGCTACAATATATGTAGAACAGTTTACCACTTTCAGATAAATTTCCCAGTTCCAAAGCATCTTATGCACCATAGAATTTCCACATATGGAGGTTTTCTGAATTGAATCTGAAGTCCAAACATGTATTTAGTAACAAATACCGGACAGGAGTCCAATATCTTGCATTCTACCCCCATCCCTGTAAACTATTGCAAACTGAACACAGAGAATTTTCATCGCTCTGCTAACGATGAGTTGAATGACTGTAAAGCATCAAACGGATCTCAAGACGGCTTTGTATATTTTGATATGCCAATGATGTTACTGACCGAAATCACCTGGAGGGCAGAGTTAATGAAGTCAAGTGGCCTGGAGCAGGACGGTTTTATTGATATTCTAAGCATTTATGTAACCTGTATACCAAATTACATGTAAAGGTAAAGAGAAGAACTTAAATGAAAGATAACTCCACTGTAAACATCTGGACAAACAATTCTATCTTATCATTCGTCCTTTATGTGACATTCACGGTACTTAGGTTACAGAGGAGATGCACTGTAGACAATGCTAGAACGCAGAAAACGCGCGCGCGCGCGCGCGCGCGCACACACACACACACACA